GCGACCAAATGTTTTAGCAGTGATTTAACTGTACGTGATGTGTATTTGATTAAATCCGAAAGATGTGAACAGTGAATAATTATCATTACAGTGGTTATTTCATAATAGGTGATCCACATTTAACTCCAGCGATTCAACTTTAAATACTTCCCATTATATGGCTGGGTTTCCTACTTTATCCAACTAGTAGTCGTACAAAGTTTAACTCAATATCTGCTTAAGTGTGGATTTTATAACAGAAATACTTGTAAATCCACAAAGCCGCACACAATGCAACTACCTACAATTTGATCCCTCCCAACTTACGAATCCGATCACTAATTCACCTCAATTAGTGAGAACCAGACAAGATGCACCCGACGAATTATTAACGTTTGCCATGGGCATGGTACAAACAAATATGCATAAATAAATAGAACTATACTAGTAGGTGATAGGTCAAGTTTGCCGCCCTGCATATTTTATGTCGGGAACGATATAAATAAGGTTCTACTCTAACAACTAGTTAGAGTAGTTATAACAGCTACCTGTTACAACACAGTTGCAGCAACTAAGCTGCATTGACGTCCTGAATATTTATAATGCCGTGGCTTTGATGTTATTATCATGGACTTTTTGGATAATGGGAACGGCCCGGAGGTTTAGTTTGAGTCGAAGTTGCTTGGGGATTGGCCTTTGGGTCGGTGAAGTTTGGTTTCCAAAACTCAGATGAGGGGACTGAATCTTTTTTTCATTTCTGTCGTAACCCGTATCACCGTTCGCCTGTTTTTGAAAATTGCACCCTCCAAGCTTTAATGGACGTTAAATTATTTTTCATTTATTCGTAAACCTAGTAATAGTAATGGATTACGTTAAGGAAACCTTACTCTATTCTGGTGTTGGTGAATGTTAAAAAATATTCGTTGAACTTGACTTATTAATAGATTTGAAAATCAAATTTTACAAGATGCACCCGACGAATTTTCGTTATATATATTACATCTCCATTATCAAAATATCTTGCCACAAGGTCAATTGACACGGGAATCATGACTAACAGCACTCACGTAGCCTATATCACAGAAGTGGCCGGACACACTTTCAACGAGATCACGGACATGATAATTGGAGGACTTCTCATCTTCAGTATGACAGTTAGTCTCATTGGGAACATTCCAGCTTTTCTCTACTTCTGGTCGATCAGGAAGAAGTCCCTTCATTTTGCCCTCTACACAATCGTCAGCGCTGCAGACGTATGCACGTGCGTCTGCGCGTTCCCAGTGGTCGCTTCTTTGTTCAACAAACGACGCCCTACTTTGTTCAACAACTACACTTTCTGCAGTATCTGGACTTTAATATTCAACTTTCTTCAGAGGTTCACAATGTTCATGGTGTTGATGATCAGTGCCACAAGATGCATTGCTGTTTTCGCACCTTTTTACAAAATCAACGAGAAAGCAGCAATGCTGGCATGTGCTTGTTTTGGGGCATTTATCATGGTAGTTGATATAGCATATGTTGCCACCGCTGAACTCAGCTTTCTCTACTGGTCTCCTGGTGCCGGCAGCGGAGTGGCTCCGAGTGTTCTGCCTCCCGGCAAAAGCTGGACAATCTATATCCTTTTGCTCCTGGTCATAATTTTTGGGATATCTTTGGCAGTGTTCGTCAGCTTTGTTCTGAGCACAGTGGCGCTGCTAAGACGAAAAGAGGCCAACACTGAAACTGCCAGAAAGTTCCGAGGGGTAACTGTTACTATAGCTTTATTCACCGCAGTTTTTCTGCTGAACAATCTGCCCCTTTTTACTATGCAGCTCCTGCAAAGCTGCATTGAATGGTTTGAGTTGGACGACTTTATTCAGAAAGTTCCGGTCCTGTTCTGGTACGGTTTTATGACGAGTCAGTTCTTCTTCACAACACTGAACACCGCTCTGAATCCTTGTCTGTATTTAGTGCGGATGGAAAAGTTTAGAACGTGGGCATTTCAACGTTTTAGAAAACCATCTGCACTTTACACTGTCAACAGTGCAAAGCAGTCCAATAGTACAAAGGTTTAGCGGAAACGTGGAAGGACAAAAAACATTATCACTTCAAAAATAATTTGCATTAAAATTTTAACTATGTGCATAAATCATTTTAATAGTTACTTATACTTTGCATGAATAATAATGTCACGAAAGTCTATCAATTTTATATTTTCAACTGAATAAATCATTTCAAACATTTCAGTTTCTCACTTATTTTGCAATCTAAAATCTAATGAATTCGCATGTTTGCGATATTTGAGTGTTTTATTTTGATCAAGAGACATGATAAATGCTCGAAGGACCTCCGAAGGAAATTTATCATCGAATATATCAGATGGTACAAATCACCCGTAGTAAATCTAACACCTGGTTACCTAGCTTATATTGTTATACTTATGTTATTTATATATATATATTATACTACTGTGCAAAATTTATCATCTGAATCCAATCAATCTATTATATACATATTATCTATATCCCAAAGCTGTTGGACCATGTCAAACCATCGGAGTGCGGACAGCTTGAGTCAACAAACGTATCTTAATAGCGTAATCCGTGAAAATAGCATCACAATTGTTTGTTTTTGTAAATAAAATAAAATAGTGAGAGAGAGATCTCCTCTCTGTGGGGTGGTCACATATTGTGATGGCCCTGTTAAAGCTTAACAAATCTCAACATAGGTGACATAGGTAGGTGGTGTTAGGTGGCAATATCAGTATAGTTTTGACATGGTTAAACGGAGATGAGGAGCCAAGAATAACAGGGAGGCTTGGTTGATGGGGAACACAGTTTATAAGAGAAAGTGATAACGTTAAGGTGAACAAGGTGCCGCAGCTGCAGTGGGATACTTACCTGGGATAATTTGAAAACAAACCATTTCAAGAACTTTAACATGTTTATGCGGCAGATGGCATAAATGCAATATACTGTGAGTCCAGACAACATCATTGATCGGTTTAGTTATTATCACCATATATCTGGTCATTGCGATTGACTAATGATTGCGATGAACAACCTCTAATCTGTAGTGATAAAACATAGAAATCGCCCAATCTCTTCGAAGTTAAAGTTCGAACACCTGGTGAATCTACAGTAATTGAAATATATTGTCATTTCAACATAAAAAAGTGCTATTTTTTGTTTCGGTATGAGTGTGTTACTGTTACTAGTATTCTTCGCTCTATTCAACAGGTAATTTTATGACTTAAAGTCTACAAATCCATTGGGGCACTTTTTGAGCTGTTTTAGAAGCTGTCATAATTTAACGATAATTTTCACAATCCATCTTTTGACATTCCGGCACATGAATATCCGTCAATATTCGTTCAGACCTTAGAGAATTGTCCAGTGCCGATGATCGGCGTAGTTTATATTTCCTTAATCTTTGCGTTTCATCCGTATTGAATAATCTATGTAATTATACATGTTAAACTATTCTAACAGGAATTTAACCGCTGGAACAATACACGACCACTCGCATGATGTCGATGGATATGAGGCTTATCGTTTGACCAAGGCCTATGTATGCACTGGCGATGAGACATGGACCTTGAAGATTAAAAACCTTCCGCTAAGAGGACTAATGTTGCTGATGCAGGAATTAATGTGTGTGAAACATGTTCAAGTCCGAGATAGAGGTAAAAAGATCACCCACATATTTGAAGCCGCTGAAGGGATGAAAAAAACAGAAAAAACTCAAAACTGTTTATGGAATGAGGTAAAAGTAAATTTGGAGGCCGCGTTCTGTGAAGAAGAAAGCCATCTCATCCTGGAGATGACGATCAAGCTTCTAACCGTTTCGTGGTGTCCCTCTTTTCCTGACGAAACAGCAGCTAACATAGTCTGTTGGATCGGGGACTTCCTTACAGAACACGTAGAAGAAATCAAGAGAGTTGTCCAAAGATACGCCTGTGATGATTATCAAACCAATAGCACAGCTCAACGAAGACCACGTGTAAAGCGACAGTACGATCTGAGCTCCATGGTGGAATTGATCAATCAATTGGCTTGCATCTATCCTGAATCAGTAGATGTCATCTTAAAAGAGAGCAGCATTGGCTGGCTGGATCTTAATAACAAGAAAAAAGTGGAGGCATTGCGAAAAACTGTTTTACCGTTTGTTTGTTGCATGATAGACTTTCTCAGGGAAAAAGAGGGCATAAAAACATAAACTTTGGTGTGACGGTGTGACGGTGGTATACAATAATTGAGAATTAATCAGAAACATTATCTCAGCTATTCATAGATCATACAAATAAAGCTAGTTGCAAATGGATTCGTGCTGATAAATTCCATTTATGTTTTACCAGTTTTAGGTATTGGATACGGCAGTAATTATAAATACGAGCAAGCCAGAACAAGGGAGGAATGAACTAATAACAGCTCAAAATACCTCAATTTATATTGCAATATAGATTTAGAATTACCCGTTTTGAAACACTCATGCCAACTAACCTGGTAAGAGATGTCATCATTTTATCGTCTGGATATTTGTCACGTTTATTCATATTGATCACAGTAAAAGCAGCCATATCCATGCAGCTAAACCATGAAAATGAGATGTTACAAAATTTTAAAAGGTATTATTACATATAAGTGGACTGTTTTGAAATTTACCCAGATTAATTAATATTTTTATCGAATTACAGACTTCATATTTCGATGTAATGATATCTTATGAACCACGATTTAGATTTTATTTGTTACTGCATTACACAAGCAAAACTCGTTATGTGACTACTAAAATGTTAGATGACCGTATATTTAACAATAGAAATTATACACAAGTTCAAAAAACCACAATAAATTAAATTAGTTCAAGTAACCGAATGAGAACTGATAAGAGATGGATAGATATCTTTGTGATTCTAAGAAATCCACTTAATCTCGGAATGTAAAATAAGAAAATCTATGCGAAAAATCTATGTCAATTTTAAATACCGCCCAGCTTCAATTAAAATATCCCCGATCTATTCCATATTTTAATCCTGAGCACAATAAAAAATTATCAGAGAAACTGTCTGAATCGCTTGTAAAGACTGTCTGTTCCTAATCAGGCATCAGCACGGAAATGGAAACGGCACTGTTGTTAACCTCGGTCAATGATGAAGAAGTCGTCTGTGGAAGAGGGAACTGGGGCTGGCTTGCTGTGAATTCGTCTCTCTTTTAGATTATTTGGTGGCAAGAGATTATTTATAATCTCAGGGAATAGTGATCGTGAAGGCAGTGAAGCCAATAACCTCTCCTATTCCAATGACCATAGTGCGTGATGAAGAATCACATCCTTTTCGAGGTGCTACTATTAAGCATTGTAATCTGTCCTGGGTGACTCCAGTATAAACAGATGACGTGCAACAAAACACTATGGATCTAGACAGGCAAAGGTCGATAAAAAACCGGGTGCGAGATGCTGGCAACTTCTCCTCTCTAAAAGTTTGCTACTGAAACATTACACACAAATCAAGGACGGTGTGCTTCTACCTCTGCAAGGTCGGGTGAGACCAGGATGACGGCAACTGGGCAAAGCCTCAGGGACCCCAGTGGCCTGATGAGAAGAGTGGTTGCTCGTCATAACAACAGAGTAATTAGTCAACAGATCGCTCATGTTGACACTGACTTCAGCAAGTCCAATCCTATCAACTACAGCAAACACTCAATGTACTTTGGAACCTGGAATGTTTTATCTTTAGTCAGCTCATCTTCACAGCTTTATCAACTCAGTCAGAACATTGATCACTACAGTCTTGATATTTTGGGTATTACTGAAACTCATATGCCAGGATCTGGAAGTACACTTTTGGACAATGGTAGTCTACTTATTCATTCTGGTAGGGGAGATGGTATCAAAAGGCAAGGGGTTGGCCTATGTCTTTCCAAAAAGGTCAGGAACTCCCTGATCTCTTATGTACCTACATCAGAGCGGGTCTTAACAGCTAGGTTACACGGCAAACACCTCAACATATCTGTTGTTGTAGCCTACGCTCCGACTGACGGTGCTAATGACGGAGAGAAAGATCGTTTTTACAACGTTTTATCAGACACGTTTGGTGAACTGCCCCGACATGATCTGAAACTGCTACTGGGTGACTTCAATGGAAAAGTTACTTCAAACAGATATGGATTCGAGGGAGTTATTGGTGGAGAATCTCTCCATAGTTCATCAAGCGACAATGGGACCAGGCTCATGGATTTCTGTGCAGCCAATCAACTTGTTATTGGTGGAACTCTGTTCCAGCATAGAGACATCCACAAGGGTACATGGCGGTCTCCTAACGGGTTAACTGTGAATCAAATAGATCATATTTGTATTAGTGGACGATTCCAACACTCGCTACTCGATGTTAAGGTATGTCGTGGGGCTGACATTGGTTCAGATCACTATCTTGTTCGTGGACGGCTGCAAATCAAACTGCAGTCGGTAGCTAAGATCACTGCTAAAAGGCACGATGTGCCTGCTATCGAACATTTGCGAAACTCGTCTAAGGTTCAAGAGTACAATGTGGCTCTTCAGAACCGTTTTGATTGTCTGGCTAATGAGGTCAACCTTGAGGACATGTGGGATAATTTCAAGCAGACAGTCACTGATGTCTCGATGGAAGTGCTTGGAAAGCGTCCCCGGAAGGTTAAAGAACAACACCTTTCGCAAACCTCTAAGAACTTGATAGAGCAACGGGGAATGTTCAAACGGAGGGATCCCACTTCAAACGTCAATAGATCAGCCTACTCTAAACTTAATAAATTAGTTAAGAAAAGTTGTAAAATTGACGACAACAACTGGGCTACTAAAATAGCGACTGATCTAGAGGAGGCTTCTAAGAAAGGCCAGCAAAGGGAAGTTTGGGATAAGATAAAGAAGATTTCTGGGAAAAAGAAGAAGAAAGTGGGCATGTCAGTTAGGGATAAGGATGGTCATTTTATTACAGACCCGGACAGTCAGAAGGAAAGGTGGAAGGAGCACTTTACTGAGCTCTTAAATCCTCCACTATCGGATGCCAATCTTGATGACCTCGATGGTGTGCCCTCACAACCGAGTTTTGACTACCTTTCTTGTTCTGATGGACCTCCTTCTAGAGATGAGATTAGTTATGCTCTAAAGAAACTGAAGAACTGCAAAAGTGCAGGGGTTGATGAGATAACTAATGAACAACTTAAGTATGGTGGAAGTGCTCTTGTTGGCCAACTAGAGCTACTGTTTAAAAAGGTATGGGAGGAAGAGGTGATCCCTGAGGATTGGCTTAAAGGTGTTATAGTGGTTATCGGAAAGAAGGGAGACACCTCATACTGCTGCAATAATAGGGGTATAACTCTTAGGGCAACGTCTTCTAAGGTTCTTCAAATGGTTCTTCTTAAGAGGCTGGATGTTGGAATGGAGTGTCTTCTTAGGGAAAATCAGTGTGGGTTCAGACGGAACCGCTCATGTATTGATCAGATTTATTCCATCCGCACCATTATTCACAACTGCATTGAGTTTAACATTCCACTTTATGTTAATTTCATTGATTTTAAGGCAGCGTTTGATTCCATCAGAAGAGAGTTTATTTGGTCAAGCATGAGACACTATGGACTTCCTGAGAAATATGTTAGAATCTTTCAGGCATTCTTCAACGGAACCATGAGTGCTGTCAGGGTTAATGGTGAAATGTCTGATTGGTTCTCTGTTAATTCGGGCACTGGACAGGGTGATATCCAGGGCCCCCCTGTATTTAATTTTTGTCTGAACTTTGGAATCTTTTTGGCCGAGGTTCACAAGGCAATCAGTCATGGTGCTGTACTGCAAAAGGAACTAAAGGGTGCAGATGAAAAAGTTATCATGGACAGTGACTACGCTGATGATCTGGCAGTGATGGACAATACTGAAGAAGGGCTGCAAGAGTCCACTGATCTTATAGCTTATTACACCTCTTATGCTGGGTTGAAGATCAACGCTAAAAAGACACAATGCATGGCGATCAGCAAGTGTGCGTCCCAGCGACCTTACACCGAAAGAGACAGTATAAAGCTAACAGTGGAGGGAGAACCTGTTGAACAGGTCAGCAACTTTGTTTATCTTGGTGCCAACATCAGTGGGGATGGTACCATTGACCGAGATCTTGACATCAGGATCCAGCGTGCTAATGGTGCGTTCCATCAGCTTTGGAAGATATGGAACAGTCGAACTATAAGAACGCCCACCAAGATCCGTATCTACAAGGCTGCTGTTATTACTATTCTGCTATATGGAGCCGAAGTGTGGAACACAACAAAGAAGCAGATGAAACGGTTTGAGGTCTTCCATCTGACCTCCCTGAGAAGAATCTTGAAGATAAAGTGGTTCTTCCATGTCTCCAATGAAGAAGTTCTCAGGCGTGCTGGAATTAAGTCTATCGAAACTTTCATCGGTGCGGCTAGACTAAGGTGGTACGGACATGTTGTCAGAATGCCAGAGACGCGGTTTCCCAATTTCTTACTGGATTGGAAACCAAACTATGGAAAGAGACTGAGAGGACGACCCCGCAAAGGCTGGATGGCCTGTGTACTCGAGGATGCGGCTGAATTTACAGGTGTCGATAACATCAGCAGAGATGCAGTAAAACAGTTGGCTCTAAAGCGAGTGGAATGGAGGAACATGTTACGCCGTAGAAGAGATGTGTGTGATGCAGGCCACTCCAACGACTAGGAGGAGACCTCTTCATGTAGCATGTATGTTTAGATTAAGATCTGGCGCCTGGGAGTAATGTGCTTGTTTGAGTTTCCGTGAGTAAATTAGTCAATGTTCTTATATTATGCATTGTTGTTGAACATAGATTTTCGATATTTAAGTTAGATTAAATTCAATTATCTAATATTTAATTTCAAAGTTGCAACAGTACTTTAGCATAAAAAGTGGGAAATTATGTACAGTGGGAAATTATGTAAAGCTTTTAGTTTTACCTGAAGTGATTTTATTCTAGAGAGGGGCACGTTTTTATCTTTACTCCAAGACGCTTGAGACGCGTCTTCCAGATCTTTAATCAACACTTTCCCTGGTAACCAAGTTATTAATGAATACTTGCCTAATTAACCAAATCTTGACTTAAAACAATAGCGGATAGTCTAAAATAAAACTAAAACAAAAAGTACATTTTATGTCCCTTTCTAGTTTCTATGGGCACGTGGAAATGGGGTTAGAAATAAGAAATTATTTATATTTGGAGTTTACCTGCGATGGACTGAAGAATCTCCTCCTGTCTGGCGATAACTTTATCGTCTGTGTACGGTTCTTTGGGAAGTAAAGATATGTACTTTTCACCCAGCGGGAAGAACTGTAATAATAATGAGGGTAATTTCAATTGAAACCGATGACACGTAATGACGATTTGGAATCTGTGGAAAGATATCGAATTTAATTCGTAACAGGCAATAGCATGTATTTTGGAATAAACCGTTCATTTAAAATAGCCATTACCACTATATAATTGATCTGATCTCGAATTTTCTGGACTTGAGGACTCTCGTCTCCGTGAACATTACGGGCGCTCTTTAGTTTTCGGAATAATTTCCTCTTCTCGAAGAATCGCACCTAGAGTAGGAATATAATCACTTTGAATTCACGTTTTGAAAATATAACTAGCAGTGTGATACTTAAGATTTATTGCTCATTTAATTTTGAGACCAATTAATGTGGAACTATCGATATGGTAATGGAATGTGAGTGTTGGTGGAGAGTAGACACACATTCCCTGCGAAATATTGTCATCATTAGGGGTCGTTCACATATTACGTAATCACTTTTTGGACAATTTTCACCCCCCCCCCCCCCCCCCCCCCCCCCCCCCGTATTCGTAATCAGTTTTACACATCTAGCTATTGTATCAAAATTACGCTAGCGTAATCATTTGGAAACCCCCCTCCCCCTCGGCTGATTACGTAATATGTGAACGACTCCTTAGTGGAAAACGAACCATTTTGTATTTGTCAGAAATCTTTGACTGCTGGGTGTTGACCAATTTATTTTGCAACATTTCAAGCCTTCTCTCGTTTTCTTGAACCACAGTCGGCGGTAAACTCTGAGCATTTTGGGAATTATTACCATTATTAATGGCTGAGACGGGGCCATGTTTTCCTAAAAATAACTCCTCGACACTGTCGGCCCCCCCCCCCCCCCCCCCCCCCCCCCCCCCCCCTTTTCTGGAAGTACAATTTAGTTACAGCGAATTTTAATTTTTATAGATGTGAAAATAACGATGTAAGAAATCCATCATATGTTCCCGTTTAATTTAAAGTGTAATATAAAATATAAATGATCAAAGCAATGACCCACCTCAACTCTACTCATGAGACGTTTTACATTTCTAATTTCACGTTTTATCTTCCCAACGCTTTGGAGAGAAGAATCTTTCTTCTGTTAACCATTTTCTTCCTCTTTATTTTTGCTTCTGAGATTGATCTGGGATTCATGTGTTCGTTTCATTGCTAAGGGAGCAGTTAAAGGGGTCATATCATAGTTAATTAACACAAACTGAAATAATTAATTGTTGTTGCGGATTTTTATGGAGTTTGAACAGTATTTCACTTTTCTAGGTATAGGATAGGTCATAGGTAATAGTAAATAGTATAGGTAATAAGTAATATATAATGGTAAAACGATTCATGTACTCTAGTTCGACACGTATTCTAGTTCGTCAACCTATTATTTCGCCAGAAATCACCCCTGTCGGATTTCGGTACGTGTCGAACTATAGCCCAGGTAGCAGACTCTATTTTCTACTTGTGATCCAACTACAGTATCATGTGTGGAACTACAGTACGTTCCAAATTTTCTAATTTTTCTTTCAGTTTCCCTCATTCCTCACATTCCTGCGTTCCTCACATTCTAATAAAAGTGGCGGGACACCCCTCACTTTATATCTACATCACATTCCACATGCTTTGTTCTCAATATTTAAATTGAGGTAACAATGTTGAGTCCTTTAGAATTGATAGCTCGGCTCATGTGTGGAACTACAGCTCTACAGTACGTTCCAAATTTTCTAATTTTTCTTTCAGTTTCCCTCATTTCTCACATTCCTGCGTTCCTCACATTCTAATAAAAGTGGCGGGACACCCCTCACTTCATACCTACATCACATTCCACATGCTTTGTTCTCAATATTTAAATTGAGGTAACAATGTTGAGTCCTTTAGAATTGATAGCTCGGCTCATGTGTGGAACTACAGCTCTACAGTACGTTCCAAATTTTCTAATTTTTCTTTCAGTTTCCCTCATTCCTCACATTCCTGCAATCCTCACATTCTAATAAAAGTGGCGGGACACCCCTCACTTCATACCTACATCACATTCCACATGCTTTGTTCTCAATATTTAAATTGAGGTAACAATGTTCAAGTCCTTTAAAAAGGTTCAGTTTGTTCCACAACACTGTATCAGTTTATTGAAGTTCAGTTAACTGCGTCGTCTCTCTTCAGTTCGGTCTATGTAACATGTTTCTTAGCTTGTTCCGCCCGAGCTCACATCTCTGAGATGGTGCTTATTTTCAACTAATTTATATAATGATTTTTGGTCATCTAATTAAATATGTGACAAAATTGGATTTATTAACATGTTTTAGTTTATCTACGCATACCAGGCCACTTAAAGCTCATACCAAGCTAATAGAGCCATGATTCAGTAGACTTTGGTATGATGCTCGATTGAAGTAAAATTGTTATTCTAGTCTGGTTGAATATAACTTCAAAGTATCCGTTATTTTACAGGATCGCAATTAGCTTGGCGAGACAAAACGTTTCGTACCGATTTTATGATATTTGAAGAACAATAAGTTTTCGAAAAATGTGTACAATTTTACAAAATTTATACATGGGGCCGGGGGACCCTTGTGTTTGAGCTGAAAAATTTTAAAGGTCGAAATACGGGGGGGGGGGGGGGGGGGGGGCGGGGGGAAGGGCAAAAATTGTTATTTGGTGTTCAAAATTATATTTAGATTCTGAATATTGAATTCAATTTATATCGTTCTTTAAGGCTGAAAGTTTGATGAAATTATATTATAACTGTTTTATCTTTAGGTTATAATCAGGTTACAACCAGGTTATTAGGTTATAATGATGAACCGTTTTGTGATAACCCTGCTCTCTGTCGCAGTCATTGGATCTCAACCTACACCAGCTGTTGATCTTGGTAAGTCGTCTATTTGTGTTTTGTATTAAGAAATGAGATGTATTGCATCTCATTACCCGCATATCCATCCTATATTTACCCACATTATCTCGATAGAAGTTATAGTTGTTATTATAAAATATAAATCCTCGGCAACATAGTGGTGAATCGAAGTGAAATATTTTTGTTTCAGATGCATTGAAGCCCTACCTTGCCATGCTTGACGCCAGGGATAAGGTAACAGACGATTCAACAATCTTGTTTAAAATCTCACTTTTGATGAAAAATATGTCGCATAATAGAATACGAGGCTGAGTTTATTTTAAAATGTGTATTAATATATTACAATGTGTCCGTCATGAACCCGCTAGGCCACTAGGGTTGCGGTTGAAACTTTGCTGATTGCTGAGGGATTGTGAACGGATTTCAAACAAATATCTTGCTTTTTGTCAGGTAATGGAAGCAGCTTGTTCGCAAGATCTCGACGGCACATTTAAAGCTGTAGCTGTAATTGAAGCAGGTTACAAGATCATGTTGAATGAAAAACAGCAATCACTGCGGAGTAGTCTCTTGTCTTTGACGCCTTACTTAAAATCGGTAAGATCAGATAAAATCAGATAATTTTAAAGATAGTTCGGATTATTTATATTTATAGTGTGACGTAAAATGGTTTATAAGATAATTATAAGCAAATAACTCAGAAACAAAAAGTGAAAAGTCAGCAAGCAACACTAGCCACCAGCTACACAGGTCGAGACGCAATCGAGGCAGATGTAAGACAAACTCATTTTCCATCCATTTTGCATGTATTGACGGACTGAAGGCCACAACCGTTTCTTTTATTTAAATCTATAAAATATAATAAGCCATGTATCAATTAATTTTCAAGTTTCACGGAAGGCCTACAAGTACGGTCATAAAACCGGCATGGACGGAAAAATAGGTTTCATGATAAGCCCAGTATGTATAATGTTATTATATTTCAGATATTTTATTTGACAATGATTGGCGATGTTTGTCGATACATCTCTGACACATCATTATTTGTTGATGATTCTGATCAAGTAAATGCAATGAGGAAAACAGAGGATATGTACGAGAAGGCTAACGATATGTTGATAAGATCGGATCTCGCAACGACCAATGTAATCAGACTACAGCTGGTTGCCAACAGATCTGATTTTACATTTAAATACAAAGATGTATTCGGAGCAGATAATTATAGAGGTAAGGACTAAGGATATTGAATTTTTAGATGACAATGACATTAACTGCCGTGCTGTTAAAAAAACAAAAATACTAAAGAATAAATCATATGAAGTGCGGTGTTGTTGTTTTTTTGTGAAGTTTTGTTGTTTTTTCTTCTTCTTCGACTTTGAATTCCGATCGAAGTAAGCCTCGTAAGCATAAGTATCGGTCATGTAGCAAAAGTGTGGCGATGTTGAGCATAATCGTTAACTAGGCCCATATCAAGTATTACATGATTGTGTCAGCCTCATTACGGTTAAAGGGTACCTTTTAACAACTTGCTTAATATTACTACATATTTACTCACAAATTAAGTCAATTTTCAGTTCTTTTAAAATTCACGATTCCTATTTTCAGGCGGCGAGAATATAGCTGAATCTGTTGCACAGTATATCGAAACAGCAATTACTGATGCCATGAGGGATATACGAACGTTGGGTGAAAATGGGAAAGCGATTCTAGAAACAATTCAACCGATGCTTGATCTCTTGAAAGCAAATAAAATGTACTACAATTAAAGGTTTTTTTCCGATTTTCCGCCTGCGATATACTTTAATATACAGGGTGGGCCAAAAGTCAGTGGACATACGTTGGCCTTAATAGCTCCGCCGTGTTTTATATTTGAGAGCTGTTGCTTTGCAGATGGCATACTGTACTTACTGGTTCGAGGATTCCGTCGTCAAAATTTGAAAATTCGAATATTTTAGACCACGCCCATTCAATATTAAAACACCTAGATATTGTTTTTTTCTGACCATGCTGAACGCCTAATTTTTTCAGAGACGGTATTATATTATTAAATGTTGCATATGATCTGAAAACATGAGGCAAAACGGATTATAAATGACGAAGTTGTCAAGCATTTTCTGTATTTCGTTAACAAAATTGACTGGGTGATTATGTGACACCGTGACACGACACCTTAATTGGGCACCCTTAACAGTTAACAATTCCCATAACGTTTAACTGGGTGGTTAACGGGGTCACCTAATCACGTGATTAGGTAAATCACCTGATCACACGTAATGAATAAACTCGTTATGCTTCATATCTCGGTCATCTGAGAAGCTACAGTTCTAATTTTGTCAGGACAAAAGTAATTCGAACAGCCAAACACAAGTCAATAAAATTCAGCTCCATCCGACTAGCCAAACTATCAAATAAATGCAAAAATGAACCTTCATTCGAAAAACATGAACTCGAATATTTTCGATTTGACGAATTCCTCGAACCAGTGGTGGTAGTAAGTCATACCAGAAAATTGGGCACTCAGTAACTGAGCTATTGAGGCCAACGTATGTCCACTGACTTAATATATTTTAATATACTAAGTTAATATATAGTACTTTAATATATTTTAATATTTAAGTATAGTGAAATGTAGATTGTTTTCCCAATTTTGCGCCTTCGATATACTTTGGTGGCTCAGTGGCTTAGTTGGTTAATCTGCTTGTCTACTGGCCCTGACGTTGCGAGTTCGAATCCCAGTTGGGCCAAGATTTCAAAATTGATGGGCAGCCGTCACTCACCAAACCATGGTGTGAATGGTAGTGGCTCTCATTAGAGCTGCGAAAATAACACGAGTGCATATGCCTGGGGTTGCGTCCCGACTATGCTGCAGGGAAATCTGTACCGAAAGGACCGTGGCCGCACCGCAAAAGAAAAGGAGATCGGCCCCTCGATCCTAGCTTGCTAGGTTCGCCATTGTTGTTGTTGTTGTGATATACTTTAATATACTTTAATACACTTTCGTAATATGTGAACGACCCCTTAATATACTTTATTATCTATCTATTAATATCTTTTGATATACTTAAATATACTTAAATATATTTTAATATACCTATATTTCGATTCAAATATTGGCCGCTAAATTTCTTTAAAGGCCTATTACTCAAAGATTCGGCTCGATAAATAAGGTCCTCACACGATTCTACGCCTATCCTGAAAATTTCATAGGACAATTTGGAAAAATGAAGAAGCCTTAGGCTTTTTGGTGAAGTCACTT